ATCATTCCTTGACTGTGTGATGTAAGGTTCATTTTCAGCATCACTCATTGAATTCCATTTGGACCTCACATCTTTTGTCACCTAATATAAAACATAAACGTTTCTTAATCAATACATTAACACTAAATACTACTCAATGTCAATTTCATTTTACATACCGAACTGCTCTGTGTGCCATCTTCCTTCATCCTTTTGCATTCGGCCATACTGTCAACATTTAAAATTTGTAATCAATTTAAAGTTTATCGATACTTTAATCCAATTACCATTTCAACAATAATAACAAAAAGACATTGATACTTACTAGAAGTACATATATCCACCCTTGGGTTGCTTTCGAGTCTCGGCCTCAATTTCAAAGTCATCTGCTCCACCAACAATTTTCCAACCCATTGACTCCATTTTTCCTTCATATATCAGTTTACGCAAATTAAATTATTTTGTTACATACACTTTATTCAAAATACAAATATAGATAACTACTCTTGTGGTAAAACGGTTTTCTTCAAAAGAATTTGAATGGCCACACCAAAATGTGTCGGCACATTTATACAACCTATAATATCATTTCTACCTATAATATTTAATAAAAGTATCGACATTTATATTTTTCCTTGAATATCACTTTCTACCTGCAATCGTTCCCAAATGCTTCTTTACTCCAAAACCCCAAACAACACATAAAAACCCTATCGCGATTACTGTAATAATAAAAATTAGGTTTCGACAACATACTTTTCGATTAGACTGCAGCAACAAACAAACAAACTTCGCTTTAGAAACGCCTTCTGAAATGCAGCAACAATTACGCTTCGCTTTCAAAAACTCGTCCGTTCTATCTATTTTCAGAGGAGATTTAGCTTATATTTTGATCGGATATGTTATTTATATTTAATCGATACAAATACAAAAGTGTCGATACTTTTATGTCAGGTGTCGATACTTTCGAAAGGATAATTACCTATTTCTTTGAAAGTGTCGATAATTTATTACACGTACTTACGAAAGTATCGACACTTTAAATATATTCGGTATCATTTTACCGGTTTTATCATTTTGATACCGGTTTTATCATATTTTTACCTGTTATATCGTTGTGGATCGATATATTTTTTTAAAGTATCGACACATTATAAGCGCTAAAACTGCTTCTCTTTTAAATTCACAAAGTGTAGATCCTTATATAAAGTATCGACATTTTCAATATATCCGGTAACGTTTTACCGGTTTTATCATTTTGTTACCGGTTTTATCATATTTTTACCTGGTATATCGTTTTAATATTTCTTCATGACTTAGACCTACTTTTATACGTATGGACACTTTTATAAAAATGATATATACTTTTTTTAAAGTTATGTAATTTATGTTTCAATTTTTTTAATAGTGTTTCATGTTTTCCACCTACAATATTAATTTAATAATTTCATTTACACAAAAAATTATTTGATTATTTGATATTTTATAAAATATTATTTAGAATTTAAATTTAACAATATTAACCAAAGATAATAATAAATATGTTTTCCACAGTGAAATAAGTATGTACACTTTTATAAAAATGATATTACTTTTTTTAAAGTTATGTAATTTATGTTTCAATTTTTTTTAATAGTGTTTCATGTTTTCCACCTACAATATTAATTTAATAATTTCATTTACACACAAAATTATTTGATTATTTGATATTTTATAAAATATTATTTAGAATTTAAATTTAACAATATTAACCAAAGATAATAATAAATATATTTTCACAGTGAAATAAGTATGGACACTTTTATAAAAAGGATAGATACTTTACAATATAACATGCAAAAATATGACAAAACCAGATTCATTATGACAAAACCGGTCAAATTTACTAGATATGTTAAAAGTATGGACACTTTTATAAAAATGATAGATACTTACCGATAACCAAAGTTTACCGGTTACCAAATTTTTTAATAGTTTTTCATATTTTCTACCTAAAACATTATTAGTTGTCAACATAATAGGTACCGCTAAACCGAATTTATTAAATACATTTTAATGTATCCGGTACTGCCGTATATTAGCCGTATATTAACCCGCCTTTCCTGAGACAATCCCTTTACAGTGGGTTCAACCTTGGACAGTGCTGATTTGAAACCTAAACAGATCATTGCGACATAATGCTATTACCCAGGTCAGGATTGGGGCCGTAAATGAGATGAAATAGATCGTGAGTTATTCGAGATTGACTCGATCAAGGTTCGATAAATACTCGGATCGAATAGACTCGACTCGAGCTCGAGCTCGACTCGAATTCTTAACGAGCCAAAACGAACTACTCGATATTCGACTCGAAAAACTCGTGAGCAGCTCAAAAATATAATATATTAAAATTTTATTTTTTTAGAAATAAATTATTAATAATATTAATATTTATGTATTGATTTTTTTTTATAAAAAAATACAGTAAGATTTCTTATATTTAAGGTTCATGTTCGAGTTCGAGTTCGAGTTTGAGGCTTCAATCGAGTTAAGTTTAAGAATTTTTTTTTCATTTCGAGCCTTTTCGAGCTGCTCAAGAGCTTCAGTTTAGGATTTCGAATTCGAGTCGAGCTTGAAAATTTTAAGCTCGCGAGTTTTCGAGTCGAGTCGAGCTCAGCAATACTCGAGCTCGACTCGGCTCGTTTACACCCCTAGTCAGGATAACATCTTTGGCTGCTACTTTCGCCATTGCTTTTGCAAAATAAGCAAGTTTCTTAAAACTAATGAAATATTTAACCACACGACTTCGGTTGTAAAAGAATTTTTGTTATTTCTTGAGGTCCTGAGTTCGAACACTATGAATGTCAAGAGTGCGAGAGGTCAATCTCAAATGGTTAAGAATTATGTTTAAACCGAAGAAGTGTGATAACCCTATTTCCTTCCATTCCTTCATTTTTATTGTTTTTTTCTAAGTTTTAAATTTAATTAATTTCTCTCCACTATTCAAATTTTATGGAAAAATTATAGTTTTATATGTTTTAAAACTACGACTTTTTCTTTAATATAATAATAAAACTTATACAGTGATAAAATTTTATTTTGATTTTCTAAGAAATTATAAACGAATTTCGGCCCTTCAAACAATGCCTTTTAAAAATTATATTTTTCTTTGATAATTTGCTGATTTTTATTGTCGCAAATAAATTGAGAATAAGAAGGGGAAAAAAGCATAATATTAAAATTAATCCTCAATTTTATTAAAAATTAATTATTTTAATTATTAAAATACCCTTTATAGATAGAAATCGTTAGTTAATATATGGTTAACACTCTAAAATAAATGTCTTTTTATTCTAAAAATAAAAGGTCAAGGGCCAAAATACTATAAAAAAATAATAAGGGTCAAACTGACTATTTAATTAAACTTTAGAGGTCTTTTTTATCTTAAAATAAAACGCTAAAATATGAATATTAAACGAAAGAATAATAACTAAAATAATATTTTCGTAAATATAAGAGACTAATTTAGTATTATACTAATAAAAATTTTCTAACGTAAATTACAATAAGGTGATGCATTTTTGTTTACCGTGATATTAATGCCAATTAAAAGATATATAAACAGGTTCTAATTACACTGTATAAAACTCTTTTAGTTTTATATATTTTTAGTACAATTGGACGAGAGAAATTAAATGTTGAGATTAACAGTAGAAAATAAGAAAATATTCATTGGAAAAAAGGAATTAATTTTAACCTTTGATTTCTATCAATCTAATGATTTTATAAAAGTATAAAACTAAAAAAAAAATTACACAGTATAAGTGAATCTTATATATATATAATTCTGATTTTATGTTACATTTTATTTATTGTTTGGCACTTCATATTTTATGCTTTGGACTTTTAAATTGGATTTGGATACGTAGTTTACGTTTGGAGATAGTTATCTCGCGACGCTCTATTTTGATTTACGATTGTCGGTTATCTTTCAATGATCTCTTATTGTGATTCTTTTGTTGATGCGGTCAGTAAAGATAGATCAAGGAGGCGGTTGTCATTTGTCGATTGCGGTGGAGACGATTGTCCTACAAATTTTAAAGTCATATATATTTTAAATATATTGTATATATTTTATTAAAAATCTATTTTTGTCTTTAAAACTTATAAGTTTTCCCCTTAAACTTTTATAAGTCTATCATCTAATATAAAATCTTGCGTTCGTCTCTAATAATTAGATATCTTCGTGTCAACCTTTTATTCAAATTTTTAAATAAAAATTTATCCCTTTTTCTTTTTTAATAAAATTAACGATTTCTATTTGCATAAAAAATGAGTTTAAAAGTGGTTTCGAAACACTAGAATTTGAATACTCAAATTGATAAAATACTAGTTTAATCACCTAAATCAACTAAAGGGTTAAATTTGGTTTTAAACAATAAATTAAAAGAAACTATTCCACTATCAAATAATGAATTAGCGCTATTCGAACGGTTAATTCGGCCATCGATGAAACTAAATTTTTATTAATTGAATTAATTAAATTTATTTTTCTTTAACCGTTAATCGAACTAATTTTTTATAATATTAACTAAACCGAACAAAATTTGATTATTTCGGTCAGTTAACCAAATGAACTGAATATTTTTATAATTGTTAATTAGATTAAGTTAAATATAATAGATGTATTTTTTATTAAGATTAAAATTTAATTTGGTATTGATAATTTAATGAGTATATTGTAGTTAAAAAATAATTGTGTTTTAATTCTTAATGAGTTCGAACTTAAAATAAGTATTTAATATATATATTATATTTAATATTTAATAATTTTGATTAATTCATTTAATTTGTTTAGTTAGTCAATTTTGAATTAAATTAATCGTTAATTAAAAAGATATTAACAGTTATCCAACTGAACTAATTTAATTGGATTGATTAATTCAATTAAAGACGAAAAGTGAAAACTAACTTTTCATTTCGGATTAATAAATAAATAATTATTGAATTGTTTCCTTCAAGAAAGAAACGAAAAAGGGGTACATTTCTTTTAGTTTAATTCAAATCTCTCTCGTTTCTCTTTCGCTTAATCAAAGATTGACATAACCATGTTATCGTTTCCTCCGGGGATCCGCTGCCGCTTTGCGGTGGCTCTTCCTTTAATGCTACTCGTCACTTTGTCATTTTCTGTCTTCGCCACCGCCGACGGTGCTTCGCAGGACGACGGCCCCGACTTACCTGCTTGTAACAATCCTTTCAAATTGGTAATTTCATTCCCTTTTTCTTTTCTTTTCCTTATGTCGTTACTATTTATGATAGTTATGTTTGATAAAGAAGCTTTTCGTTTTTCTTCTTTTAGTTTGTTAATTTTGGATCTGAATTCCGAAATGATTTGGAATTGTTCCAAATCGTATTAGCTCCATTAGTTGTTTTTAGGGTTTTGTGATGGAGAGAGAAATTGGAAAAAAGAGAGAGCAAAATTGTCTTCTTCTTTTTTTCATTTAGAGAAAACGGCGGAACAAATTGTTGTTGTGGCAAGCTTGAGTTTTGGTTTCTTTAGGAATTTTATCGGACAGAAATTTAAGCTGGGATAACAGTTTCAGCCATCTAGCTTGCGGCTTGTAAATTCCACTGGCAAATAATTACAAATAAGATTCTGGAATAGGAATTTCTGTAATCTACTCTTTGGTATTGTTACAAGATAGAGGTTCTAAAAAGTGGGTTCTTTTATGATTTGCATTTATGAAGAAAAAATTTTAGGATTGTTATAAAGTCAAAGGGTTAAGAGGATCATTTAGTACTTTAGAAAGAAAGAATGAATCTGGTTGCTTATTATTTGAATCCAGTGAGTGCTGAAGGGTGCAAAAATGTAAAGAAGAGAGTTCTTATCTGGAACCTTTAGCTGCTATATGATATGCTGTTATATGACAATGATGCTGATAGAAAGTCTTGGAAGATAATTTATGAGAAAGGGAAGGATGACCAACCTTGAAAACTTGAGTTCTGGGGATGCAGGAATTTTGTGTGGTTTGTCAAGAAGATATGCAGAACTGAAAATTCTTTGAAGAAAATAATGTTGTACTCCTTTTATTTTAGTCATGCAGAAACTTCTGTGTTTTTGGTTATGATCTGAAGATTTTTATGGTTATTTTTCCTAGTAATGCAATATTATTGAAACAAACTGGTCCCTTTGTCGGTTGGCGTTGAACCTTGATCTTGAGGAAGATAGATAACTGAGAAATAGTGTGTAAGATTTTGAAATAGTATGTTTTTCCAAGTTTCATGTCTTAGAGTGCAAAAGAGTAATAGCCTATGTTCATCCTAATTTCATAATAATAAAGTTCGAATCTTCCAGGTCAAGGTGAAGATCTGGATTGATGGTGCTGAAGGTGATGATTTATCTGGGCTAACTGCAAGCTTTGGTGCATCATTGCCAGAGGAAGCCAACAAAAGTCCTAAACTTCCTGCTGTTTTCTCAGATCCCCTGAATGGCTGTTCTAATTCTTCTTCAAAGGTTCTGTCTCAATTTATTTTGTTTTCACAAAATTCTTGGTGAATTTGCCATTCCTAGAATTGTTTAGCTTTTATCTTGTTTGTCAGAGTACATTTTTTAATACAGTGAAATTTATAAAATCATCCATATTATCACAATTTGATGGACTTTTGGTGTTACGAGTCAAGCGAAGCCAATTCAATCTATAAAGCTACAAAGAAACCAATCTAGATCAGAGCAGGAAATAAAATAGTGAAATTTACGTCTTCCATTATTTTGTATAAATTTATATTTTTCAAAAATTACTCATTTATTCCTATAATAGCCATCCACTTTTTCTTCAAAATATTACCAGTAATTTTCTCTTTGAAAGCATTTTCTAAGTCTTACCTTTTTTTTTCTTTCTCCCATATAATGGGTATGTTGTGTGCATATATATAAATTACTAAAAAACCTACTCATTTAACTTCTCTTACAAGAGAAAAGGAGAAAAAAGAAAGAAAACTCCGCATAGGGGTTGTACCAAATTTTGTTACTCTTAAAACTTCTCTTAATTCTACGAGGACCATGTAAGCCTATGAAGTTTGGAGATGATACTTTTTAGAAGCTTTGAATAAATTTTGTAGTTTCATAAGCACCATATCTGATTCATCATGATTAGAACTTTTGATTACAGCTCTCTGGCTCTGTAGCCTTGTCCATACGAGGTGATTGTGACTTTGTAACTAAGGCAAAAGTTGCGCAGTCAGGAGGTGCAGCAGCCTTGCTGGTGATAAATGACAATGAAGGTTATAATTGTTTTGTTTGCTGGCATATGCTATTGGTATTTTTAACTTCATTTGAAGTTCAATGGGATGATTGATTAGAATAATGTTCTTGCTTATCAGTCTAACATATCCATCTTTTTGTATAATTTATTCAGAGCTTTACAAGATGGTTTGTTCTGAGAATGAGACTTCTTTAAATATTTCAATACCTGTTGTGATGATTTCAAAATCAGCTGGAGTTGCAATTAACAAATCCATGGAAGAGAAACGTGGTAAGCACTAAGCTCTTGATCTCATATGATGCCTTTTCTTTTGCCCTTTTAGTTTTTTTCTTCAGATGCATCTGATCTATTTCATAGATTGTTAGAAACAAGAATATCTTGTTCCCAAAGTGATTCATGATGATGAGGGATGGAATGCACTTAAGCCTCTTATTCTGATTCGAGATACTTGTTTGCAGGAAATTATTAAGCCTTTCAAATGAACCAGCTTTTGTTTAAGTAGTCAATCTAGTGTAGAAATATGTCTGTTTGACACAGCTATAGAATGAAGGGGCGTTTATGTTCAGGATAAACTTTATCATCCTTTGATTAGGTGAATAAAGTCTAAATGAATAGATTCTTTAATGCCATTAGTATGAGGTTTGTTGTTTTGAGGTTATGGATATGTCTTCCACAATTTGCAGGTTTTGTGTTTCTGTACTAGTATGTGTTATATGATTATGGATCAGTGTAAGCAAACTTAAAGCTTTAAAGAATAATTATTGTGTTACTATACAAAATCTTCAATGTTATTTAGCTTATCTATATTCTTTGAAATATTAGGATTTGGAGCTATCTGCTTTTCCTGAATGTGAACATCAGTGTGATTGTACTTGAGCTACTATAGCTCTTTTTTTTTTTTTTTTTGAATTTTCAAGCCACTCTATAACATCAATGGATATTTAGGAATGCTTAACAAGATAGAGAATTTATTCATCCTGGATGCATACATTCTTTCTGATATTTGAAGTTTGTTCTCGTACAATGATACATATGAACTAAATTATTTTAATTTTACAACGCAGTGGAATTTTTATTATATGCACCACCTCGTCCAATTGTGGATATTTCGGTTATATTTTTGTGGGCAATGGCTGTTGGAACAATTGTTACTGCTTCATATTGGCAAGAGTTCGGCACTTCTGAGAATTCTGACGAGCGCTATAATGAATTATCTAAGGTTTACCATATTCTGTTCTCCATCCATTATCATGAAGTTTATAATTGCATTATTTGTATATGTGTGCCTTTCAGATTTGTTAACGCCTGCTTTAGGGAGTAATTGGTTCTGATTTCCATGAATAGCATATCCTCTAGATTTTCCTAAAATTTTGAGCACCTATTAGTGTTAGTTTATTACCATACGAATGGAATCCATGGAAATTGCATTTTCAAGATATTTGATTGCTGTTTATAAGCAGCTTGTGTTGTTCAGGTGATTATCTTTATAATCACTTTCCTTCCAAAGTAAGTTTATGGCGAGTCTAGTAGGCTGGCAGTATATAATTAAGTCTCTCTCTCTTTCTATCTCTCTCTCTCTAGATATTTTTTCTATTATCCAATCCAGTGGTTGTAGATAATTAGTATCCATTTAGTTTATCATATCTCTGAAATTCCAGTCTGATGGCTAGTATGGCATTTGTTTCTTTTTGCAACAAATTTCTAAATTCTTATATTGGCACATTGGATCTGTCCTTTGCAAGGAATTAGGAAAATGCATATGCAATTGTTACTACATCGTCAACACTTGTTGCGTATAATGCTCTCTTTAAAATTTGCTGCTCTAATTTGTCCTGTGAAGAAACCTTACCTATTTTTATTAATGTCTCTCTTCCTTAGGGTATCTGAGTTCTTACTTTCCTTTTTGATTCTATCATTGTAGCATCTGATTATTGAAAGGAAGTTTAAGTCCTTTTCTTTTTCTGTTGCTGTTGACTAGGAATCTACCAATGCTGGAACAGGTAGTGATGATGAGAAGGAAATCCTTGATATTAGCATAAAGGGTGCCGTAGTTTTTGTGATAACGGCATCAGCTTTTCTGGTGCTACTCTACTTTTTCATGTCCGCTTGGTTTGTCTGGTTGCTGATTGTTCTTTTCTGCATTGGTGGTGTTCAGGTAACACAATTTCATTTGTATTTGTTTGATGTTTTATTTATCATGTATATGTATGGACGTATGCTCAAATTTGCTAATGGTTAGACATTGCATATTAAAAGCAACCTACACATTTAATGTTATTGGTTTTTATTTTTTGGGAACTTTTTGTAGCTGGTTGATTGCAAGATGGAATGCAATACAGAAAATGTGAACTCATATAATCATGAATAAATATATACAAGTAGTGATTAGAAATGCATAACTGGATTGCTTTTGTGCTGTCTGTATCATTTTTTTTCCCACATTTATGTGCACGGTGTTGAAACAACTATTTTCAACCTCTTCTTATTTTCATGTTTTTGCTCTCTCACCCCCCCCCCCCAAATTTTTTGTCGTGGTGATATATTCTCTTATGACCTTTTTTTGTATATCTGCTGAGGGTTTTTGTTTTTCCAGGGGATGCATAATTGCATTATGACGCCTATAACAAGGTATGCTTGAAATTTCTTGTCTTTGCTGTAAATCCCTCACAAAGCTGTTTTACAAGATTTATTTTCCTTTTGTTCTTTTTTCTGATGTGTGTGCTAGCAGAAAATGTAGAAATGTTCTACAGAAGACACTGAATTTTCCCCTCTTTGGGAAGACTTCTGTTGTCTCATTTGTGGTTGCACTGTGCTGTTTGATATTCGCTGTTGTCTGGGCTGTTGAACGGCAAGCATCATATTCATGGGTGGGCCAAGATATTCTTGTAAGTCTCCACATTGTCACTTTGCATGCCAGACTGATTATGGGTATTTTTGGGTATGATCATACTTTCCAAGGTGCAAACATTTAATATTCTCTGTAGCAGTAATATCTTAAGGAAACAAATGGTGTTTTGAGATTAAATTTTATGGTGAATGATTTTAAGAGGATTGTAAATTATAAGAGTATTACAAGGTCCGGAGTTGGATTGAGATTCCGGTCAAAATCAGAGTTAGAAAGTTGTTTAGAAGTGGCTTTACCAATGTGAAAAGTACTGGAACACGACTGAATTTAAATTGCTAGTTTAAGAAAGCATAAACCTGTTTTAAGGGAAATGTTATCTGGCATTTCACATTTGAATTCGTATGATATCCATTGTTATTCCTTTTAATTTTAGTTGCTTTTGTTTCACCTACTCATTTCCTTGTTGTTTTAAGTAACTTGAGGTTTCTATAAACTTTTCTTGCTATTGTTTCTGCATGGAAGTTGGTTCCAATGTTGTTCAGATGCCTTTTTCTTTGCATTTGTTTACTACCTTTTTGTTTTTATTTTTTGTGTTCTTTTTAAAAGGGTATCTGCTTGATGATTACAGTCTTACAGCTAGCTCGGCTACCAAATATCAAGGTACATTGGTTTCATTTATCATGTATATCTTAAATATATTTCCCCCTTTGCCATGATTGTTCTTCATGGACCAGGTTGCTACAGTGCTTCTCAGTTGTGCATTTGTTTATGACATCTTCTGGGTCTTCCTATCGCCACTTATATTCCATGAGAGTGTGATGATTGCAGTAAGTGTTTCCTCCTTTTGGTTGTTGAACTGAAATTAGTTTTCTTTTTGTTAGTTACTATAATGTAACCAACTAATTGTTTGGTTCGACTCTTTTTAAAGTATTGAATCTTTGCATCAAATGGGACAACAGCATCTTTTCTCATCACTCAATTCAATACCATCAGTCATGAAAAGTTGTTTATATGGAAAAGCCATGGTCTCTTGATTTAATTTTGATTAGCCATTGCAGTAATACTTCTTGGACATATAAATAATAACACAAGTACAAATTTACATATATGCTGATGGAACAAAGGATGATTCCTTGCTTGGTTTGGTTGAAGCTATGATTTTTCTCATATGCATCTCATGTTGATTTAAAGAAATGATTTCTAGATTGCAAAATATGATGGTTCTTTCTGCTGACGATAACTTTGTAGAGCTCCTTGTTGGACCTACAAAGCTGATTATATTATTGGTTTTCTTTTGACCTTGTAGTTACCTCTTTCTTTATGGAATTTTTTGTGTGTGGGGGGGGGGTTGTATTTGTTTTATCTCTCTTTTGTGTATTAGACAACATCTCTCATCAGAAATCATCTTCTCAATCATATAATCTTTCCTGTCAAATAACTAGTTAGCCTATGGTATTTGGTTAAGGCCCGAAACAAGTTTTTAAACTCGAACATTCTTATAAATGAGTCCGATAAAGTGTAAGCCAAGCTGGTTCCTCACATACTTCTGCTGAAATTTGTTTATTAACTTAAACTATTAACAGCTACTACCAGGAGGCTCTGATACCTCATATAAGAATCAATAGCGTTTTAAATGCCAGTTTATGAGGGGTTACTCCATATGTAAACTGATTCGGCTGGTTGGTCATTAGAATTGTGTAGAATTTGACATTAGTATAACAGTAAAACGTAAAATCTGCTTCTTACTCACAATTCCATTTTAATAGAAGTGATTTTGGGCTTTGGCATATGGCAAGCTCCTAAGCCAAGGTCACTGTTCATGGATGAACCTTGATATCTAACATTTTGCTCCTGTTAATAGGTCGCTCGAGGTGATAATAGTGGTGGAGAGTCAATTCCCATGCTTTTGAGAGTTCCACGAGCTTTTGATCCATGGGGTGGTTATGATATGATTGGATTCGGTGACATTCTCTTTCCTGGTTTGCTTGTTGCATTTGCTTTCAGGTACTTCATTCCTTTATTGTGTTATCTTCCATCATATGATACCAAGATATCTGTTTTCATAACTATCACTGAACCGGCTGTTTGTCAAGCTGCTTTAGTTTCAGTCAGTATTTGAACTGTTTTTAGTGTCAGTTTTAGGTTTTAATGATAATATTGCATACTGGTCCATTTCCTTTCTTATGCCCTTGTTTATGAAGGGTTTTCATCTTTTCTTTGTTTCTGGGTTTACAGTTATTTTCCTTGTTTGGTTGTCTCAGGTACGATAAAGCTAACAAGAATCGTCTTGCCAATGGGTACTTCCTGTGGTTGATAATTGGCTATGGATTTGGTAAGTGTTCATAGTTTGTTCATGCAGACATACATACATACCCTATTTTTTCTATTTTAATGTCATCTTCAAATCACTTTAAAAAATCTATTATCTATTTATATCATCTTCAATAATAATATAAAGAATGAACTTTTAGTATATTATAAAAATAATATTCTGGTAATAATTTCAGGTTTGTAGCAAATTGTCTGTTAATTTAATTTTAATGTTATCTTCAAACCATTTTATAATAAATTAATTCGTCTTTAGTTCACTTAAGAAAAAGGTAATCTATTATCTATTTATTCTTCAATAATATTATGCAAAGAATAAAATTTATTGTATTATAAAAACTAATATTAAAATTTGTGATAAACCCGGGTTATAATTTCATATTTAATTTTGGTGTAATAAACCCTTGAATTTAGAATTTTTATGCCTTTTTATTGAGGTTTTAAATAAAATTACACATTCTTTCTATATTTACTTCTAATATTTGTTTTGCAAAGTAAATAATTTACTTATCCATTTCGTTTTTGATGATGTCTTCATCATGCTTACTAGGTTAAAATTGAGACGGATTTATGTTTCAATCTTTTCAATTTGCTCCTTGTCTTACTCTCTTCATTTAACTTGAGAATGATTTTTGACTATGTTTCACCTAATATTTAGGTTCTGTAATCTCAAATATTAGCAATTCTGTCAATTGCAAATGTGCATAACTTGTTTGAAATTCCGAATATTGCAGGCCTCTTGTTTACATACCTAGGGTTATATCTAATGAACGGGCATGGTCAACCGGCACTCCTCTATCTTGTTCCTTGTACACTAGGTAACGAAGCTTTTGATTCCACTCGGACCGTCCAGGCAGTAAATATGCGTTCTTGTTTTTCTTCCTTTCCCTGTCTCCGTCCCGTCATGCTCTTCCTGCTGTCTTGCAGGAGTTATGGTTATATTAGGTTTGGTAAGAGGAGAGCTGAAGGAGCTATGGAACTACAGCCCCGAGTCACCATCTACCATGACGAATCTCACTGGAGAAGCTTGAAGCAGGTAATGTTTCGTAAAAATCGAACTGCTGATCCTCGGAAACTAATGGTGTATAGAAGAACGATGGGGTTGGTATAGGGTTCGAGTTTTGAGACCATAAACTGCCATGTGAAATTTATTCAACAATGAAGGTTTGATTCTTACCACCAAATTGCTGCAAAATGTTGTAACATCTCTGGAGTGTAATGCACAGTGTGTCAACTTTTATTTTGTTCAAAATTTGTAGGCACCCAAATATCCATCTATCTATATGATGAAACTTGAGCTAACTTGTATTCTCTTTCCAACATTTTATTTTAGAAAAATTAAATATTTAATTGATGGCATGTTGTACAAAGCTGTGATAAGAAAAAAATAACACATTACTATGGTCATATAAGATTTTGGAATTATATTACTTCATTTAGTATCTAATTTTTAAAAATAGAGATAAATAAATGGTTATTAAATAATTAATTCAAATATAATTATTAAAAAACATTTACACAAAAAATATTTTAGTTTATAATATGAATATAATATTAATGCATATTGGATATCAATTAAATTAAAAAAGTACACAAAAATATTGTTATAAATATGAAGAGCACCCAAAAAATAATTAAAATAAAAGATATATTTAGTAGTATATAAGACCCTCAAATCTTTTAAAAGAAATTAATGTATCCCTTGATTAAAGGTATTATTTAAATTTAAAATATAAAATATAAATAATTATTAAGATATTCAATACATTAAATATAAAAATATTATAAAATAAATTATTAAAAATTCAATTTAAGAACCAAGTTGAGTGTAGAAAAATTTAGGGACCATATTAATTTTTTTGCAAAGTTTGAGGGTTTTAGAAGTCATTAAATCAAAAAAAATGTTAAAATGATTTGAACATGTGTAAGTTAAGTTAAAATTCTAGATATCGCGTTTTTCTATTTTTCAAATTTCCAAAATAATTTTAATGAAAATATTGGAAATATATTTTTTATGTTTTCATATTTTTATGTTTTTGTTTTTATTTTTGAGAAACAATTTTTTTATTGTACAATCAAACATGTTTTCTTCAATTTTTTCTATTTTCTAAGAAAATGAAAATAACCTATATTTTCTAGAACCAACCTGACTCTAACATTCTATATAATTGTCTTTAAAGTTAATTATTTTGTTCATTTAATCTTTGGATTAATACCAAAATAAGTGTTCAACCTATATCACTTTTCCCAAATAGGTGCCTAAACTATTTTTTGATCCATCCAGGTGCCCAACGTTACAAATGTTACCATTTTAGGTTCTCGGGACGTCAACGACATTAATTTCTCCCATTAAGTGACACATGTCACAATATGATGATTTTGAAATTTATTTTTTAAAAAATATTAAAAACATTATGAAATTTATAATAAAACATTAACTTTTCTTATATTATAAAACAACCCAAAATCTCAAATTCTAACCTTAATATGCCGTCTTTGCCTTTTCTGGCCACAACCATCGTCGCCGGCATAGTCTCTGCTATCCTCTTAGCTATACGCTGCCATAGTTGTCGTCAATTGGCCGTCGGCGTCGCGTAGGGTTCGCGGAGCATAAAACGTTGATATTTCGTCAATCGACCATCGATCGGTCATGATTTCATGGGGTTTTTGGTCGTCAGGGGGATGCTAGGTCGGGTGGAACTTTGTCAACGAAAAAGTGTGGTTGCTGGCGTGGGTTTAGGGGTTAAAATGAAGGTTTTCAAAGTTTTGAGGTTATTTCAAAATATATATATTTTCTTTTCTAAAAAAATATATAATTTTATTTTTTTAATTTTATTTATTTTTTTAAAAAATTACTAGGTTGTGACACATGTCACTTAACGAGGAAATTAACATTGTTGACGGTCCATGCACCTAAAGTGGTCGAGTTTGTAATGTTAGACGCAGTGATGAGTCAAAAAATAGTTTAGGCACCTATTCGGAAAAAGTGGTATAGTTTAGACATTTATTTTGGTATTAAGCCTTTAATCTTTGAGTAAACTATTTGTTTGGTCACCCAGCTATCACTTTGATTTTGTTTTGGTCACTAATTATTTTTTAAATCACATCTAATGTTATATTTCGTTTCTGTTTTGGTCACTATTTGTTAAAAAATAAATAGAATTATTGACATAGTAATTTTTCATTTTTTCAATAACAACATGACATTATTTTATAGTGGTATATCAACATCATCATTAATATTTTAACGGGTGATTACCAAAACATATGATTTTTGAAAAAAATAATAGTTAGGTGAAACGTTGGGGGGTTAATGTGCTCCAAAAAAAGAATAGATAAAATGACAATTTTGTTAAACGTTAGAGATTTTTTTTGTTATTATGCCTTTGATTAAAATAAAACTTTTATAAGAAATTAATCAGAAGTCTTTGAATTTTTTTAATAAGAATAATTTTTTAGTAATATATTTTAGTGGGTCACACTAATAATATATTTTGATAAGTGATATTCACTCTAAACATAAATAAATTGTTAATTGTTAATTGTTTAAATGATGTATATTTAATCATTAATAAAACCTACATTATAACGATTATTGCTAGTTTATGTTTCTCTTTTATTGGACTTTTCCTGAAGAATGTAATATTATTGTAACAAATTATAATAATTTATTTATCTTTTAAAATATAGGTTATGTTTATGCATTTTTTATAAGGGTAAATTATATCTATGCCTATTTAATTTTTTAGATAATATCACACTCCGATCACGAGACTAAAATTTTTCTAGATTATCTTTAGGCATTAAATTAATATTTTATTAAAATTTTGAATCAAATTCATAATATGGGGAAATTTTGAAGACTTGATGGATAAGTAATTTTCCCTTTCTTAGGTTAATAAGAGATATAAAACACCCACTTAGCTCAAGAAAACAAGCTCACTTTCTCAAAATAGTAAGCTCATATATCTCTCTTCATTTTGTTAAATATCTTTCTTTCCATTTTCATAACTTTTTCTCCAAGAAGATTTCACCATTGTTTCGTCATTAATCAGACCTTCGTTTATTACACCGCCCATACCATCATGTTTTTGGTGTTGTTCTAAGTTGACCGATGTCCTCAAATTTGTCATCTTCATTAGTGTGGAGCAGAGTAAGTAAAGGAAAGATTTGACCTCGTGAAAAACTAACTCTTTGTTGTTTACTATTGTGAATCGAGCTTGGTTATATCCTTAAATCTCATTTCCATCAAATCTGTATTTTTGTCATAATTTTCCAATGTCACATGCGCCCCTACGTACTGCACCTACGCTTGTACCTTCTTCACCGCCTCGGAGAGAGCCTTCTAGAATAGGGTCGACCTGACCTGGACCCAAGCCCAGTAATCTGGTTGCATATTGGGCATGTGTAGTTGGCCTAAACCAATCCAACTTAAATTGAACTATTTAGTCCGAACTGAATTGATCTAAATCGGTCTATACAAATCGAGTCGATCTGAGTTAGTTTAGTCTAAATCAAACGAATCGAATTGGTCTGACCGTTGACTACCATCGATGGTTGACCGTCAATGACCCGTGTTGACTTTGATTGTTGATTGATGTTGATTTTTTTCGAAAACCTCTTTCCTGGCATTTTTCGATGTCTTGAGTCTGTTTTTTCGTTTGTTTTGCCAAATTCTAAACCAAAAGCCATGAAATAAGCTCAATAACCCATAAGTGTATTTTTAACTTCAACATTTTAGTATGATAAATAAATTTTGATTATAGAACTAATATGAGAATATATTTCTATGAAGGTGCTCGTGTTTCACCCAATCATGTGTTGACTAGATCTGATACTTTTCGCTGAGCATATCAACACAGTTCTTGTAGAGGACTACTTGTATATATATTTTTTAAATATTTAAGTAAAGTTTATAATTCATTATGTTATGATAGTAATATAATTTCTTTTGATACGTATGATCTAACATTGTCACATATCATGATAAACATACCCATCAGTAGGTTATTCTGTCAAACTTCTTAGATCGACACAAGTGTGTTTCTAATGGTGTTACATTACTATTTTGATTTATTTATCTGAGTCACTCCAGACTTTAGATGATACTAAATATTTTAGTCGCATGATCTCTGATTTACTGTATACATTTGGTTGGGCTCTGATTTATAGTATATTTTTACATGATATCTAGTTACTATATTTTTAATATGATTTTAAATTATGAGATGTTTTCATGTTTTAATAAATTAAATGTTGACGAAAACGGGTAAAGAAAACAAAAGAACACGAGAATTTTACGAGGTTCGGCAATGTGCTTACGTCCTCGGTGCCTAGGCGGCGCTAGAAGTTTTTATTCAAAAATGATATTTTAGGTCTAGGTTACATCTCTATTTATAATAGAAAACCCTGGTACATAATTACAAAATTAACCATGTACCGTACCGCGAGGGCTGCGCCCCCGCACCCCCAACCCACATAATTCGTAACCCCACAACGAGACTTTCTTTGTAAGGACAGTTGATGTTCGCTTCGCTCACTCCGCTCCATCTCCTGTCCTCTTTACTGGTATATTTATGAGCCATACCTAACAAATCTCCACCTTGGCGAATATCCTGCCTCTTGGAAAATTCAATGTGGGTTGGGTTACCTTGATTCTTTAACAACTCGAAACATTCAACAAGTCCAAGCAATGCTTGAACTTGTCTGTCGTAACTGGCTTAGTGAACATATCAGCGGCATTTTCATCAGTATGTACCTTCTGAAACAAAACCTCTCCAGATGTAACCAACTCTCTGATCTTGTGGAACCTTACATCAATATGTTTAGTTCTAGCACGATACACCTGATTCTTAGCCAAGTGAATAGCACTTTGATTATCACAAAGCAACTGAACTCCACCTTGTTGAACACCCAACTCCTTCACTAAACCAGTAAGCCATAAAGCTTCTTTTGCAGCTTCAGCCGCTGCCATGTACTCAGCTTCAGTTGTAGATAGAGCCACAATAGATTGAACAGTAGACTTCCAACAAATAGGCCCTCCACCAAGAGTAAAGACATACCCTGTCGTAGATCTTCTATTATCCAAGTCACCTGCATAGTCTGAATCCACATATCCTACAACCAAAGGATTATCCCGCTGACTCCCAAAAACAATTCCATGTCCCACAGTACCCTTTAAGTACCGAAAGATCCACTTGACTGCTTCCCAATGTTGCTTACCAGGTTTAGACATGTACTTACAAACTTGACTAACAGCATGAGCTAA